CAGGAATGAAGAGCATGAAGTGGGCCAGTTTGAATACCAACATTTGTAATAGGCTATGATTTGAATCTAATGCATGCAAAACTGTCTGGCTGTCTTTTCCTGTGTCAGTTTCGGTCCCTTCTTTGGTTAGTAAAGAGACCACTTTGTGCCCGGGACCACCTGTAAAATTTGTCAACAATCTTCACATTGCTAGCAGGTTTTACAGGTAGTTGACAACCAACTTCATCAGCTGAGAAGCACAGAGTGTTGTCTCAACACAACATTGTAAACCATGGATTATTATGAGGTGAAAAGAGATGAATGGAATGATGTCGCTGAAACACATGTATTAAAGCATTAAAAACTGAGAAATATCTGCCAAAACAGGGACAAAGTAAGAACAACAACAAAAATTTAAAAAAGACCAACCAACCAAGGTGCTGGCACCTAAAGGGCAATACAACATTCTTGTTTAGGCCTAGTAATACCTCAAGGAGTTCTTTACATCTTGCGATAACAAGGGTAATACCTCTAATTAAAAAGCATTGACCTATTAACCAAAACTCTAGTCAAATTCTTCCAATGATGATACATACTATCATCAAGTTTGAACCCAATTACAATAGCACGGGTAAAACCTTTAGTTTCAGGAATTGATCTTAGACCCCATTTACCCAAAATCTGATCAGATCATTTTCCTAGGGCGGTACATATACTATCAGTTTGAGCCTCATATCTCTAGTGTGGTTCTTGAGATATTGCGACTGACTAAAATTTTGGTCTCCAATTATGTACAAGTCTGTAGAAAGGAAAATATTCTGTGGTTTTTAAAATCACCAAAACAATTAAAAATGACAATATGGCATCTCCTGTATGAACATGAGACTGACCTTGTGCAAAGACTGAATACGGGCTTCTTGAGGCATGAAAGTCTTCTAGAGAAACTTTTGAGCTTGATGTTCTGGAGGTCAACTAGGGTCAAAAGGGGAGGGACCCCTCCTGGGTATCATGGGTGGCCTCCGGCTCCTGTAAAAAAAGAAGACAAAATTGGGATTCCAGATTAGCATGAAAATGCATTCATTTGCTATGAGGCCAGTTACAGAAGTGATCAACAGTACATACATGTACATGTACATGTACATGTATATATTTACCGAGGGCCAACATGGAATAAAGCCCCAGAGACCTACATGTATGTTGATCTCAATCAGCTTCTGCACAACTTTCTTTTTCAATCTTGTGGACTTTTGGTCTCCTGGGTTGTTCCTTTTTTAAATCTTTAAGTCTTGAAACCTTTTAATATCAGACTTGTGAATTATTTATGTGCATGCTTTATGTATAAGCCTTATTTGACGATTCACCGACATTGTATGCTTTCACACACAATTATTTTTAAAAACGATTCCAAAAGGGATCTTTATGACTTAATAGGCCCATTATGAGTGTCTTCCTCAGTGGCCTATCTATGGGGGTGGCAGAGGGGGCACGTGCCCTGGGCGGCACTTGAAGGGCCGCAAACAATAAACAAGAGGTCCACTGACCTTATGCTCAACTGAGCTGATGAAATAAGAGCTTCACATTCTTCCCCAACCCTCTAGGGAGATGGGATTTCTGGTATGATGTAACACATAAACAGGGCACACTGCCTCAAAGCCATATGGAGAGGCTCTTCTTAAATACCTTTTGATCCCTTCTGCCTCTATAATTTGCTATAAAGTCACATATCCAACAATGCCTTTCATAGAGGAATAATAATATTTAAAACATCTTTAATTCTTGCTACTGAGAAAACCAATTAAGATTCCTTATTCTATTAAAGAATTTTCAAACAATGTTTAGTTAGAATCCAATGATGATTTTTGTCTGTGATATAATAATAATAATAATACATAACATTTATTAGACGCTTAATACGGGTGTTTCCAAGCGCACCATTGTCAGACTTAAGATTACCAACTAAAGCTTATAATAAACACAAAAAATATAAATCTGTTCTTTATTCAATAAATCATGCATGTTATAACAAAAATAAAAATGAGATCAAACATAAGGACAAACATAAGATCAAACAAACAAAGAATAAGATGGTGAGCACCTCCTTTGACCGACTCACAACTGCAGAATATCTTTCATGAATTAAAAAGGTGCGTTTTCAGCAAGGACTTAAACTGGTCAAGAGAATGAGTATTATGAATATGCGCTGGTAATTTATTCCAAAGGATAGGGGCATTTACTGAAAAAGCTTGATCGCCATATTTTGTAACACAACAAGGTCCAAGGGTTAACTGCAAGGTTGATGATGATCGAAGAGGTCTTAAAGAACTAGAAGAACGTAAGGAAATCAAATCTGAAAGATATTTAGGGGCTTGGCCATGGAGAATTTTGTATGTCAGAAGAAGAACTTTTAATGTTATACGATGGTGTATGGGAAGCCAATGGAGAGAACGCAATATTGGGGTTATGTGCTCAAATTTTCTCAAGAGAGTTACAAGCCTTGCAGCAGAATTCTGAATTCTTTGGAGTGGAAGTAAGTATGAATGAGGAAGGCCAGAAAAAAATGAATTACAATAATCAAGGTGGGAGGATACAAAGGCAAAGGTTAATTTTGCAGTTGTGGGTTGGTCAAATAGTTTCCTAATTTTCCCAATTTTAAAGATTCCAAAAGATGCAGATTTACAAACGTTTTTTAATATGCTGCTGAAATGTAAGATTTTTGTCGATTAAAACACCAAGGTCTCGAACATATTCACAACCCTTCAGTGAACCCTCTCCGGTAACCAAGTCGGGGAAGGAATCAGCGTTTCTGAATTTGGAAGTAATGTGGATCATTTCAGATTTTTGTTCATTAAGGCAAAGTCTATTGCTAGAAGACCAGAACCTAATGTCTTCAAGGCAACTGCTAAGTTTCTGAGTCACATCATCCTTCCCATTAGGCTTAAGAGTTACATAAATCTGAGTGTCGTCAGCGTACATCGCATGCTGAATCCCCTAGTGAGAATCAATGACCTGAGACAGTGGGCTGGTGTAGAGAAGAAAGAGAAGCGGGCCGGTTACGGTACCTTGAGGAACGCCACAGATCAGTGGAAATGTTGCAGAAGGCGTGGTAGTGCATGCTAGACTGTGCCCCTAAAGCTTTCCAGAGATGGAGCAATATAATAATAATCCCCTCTTTGTCTTGTGTGAGCTGGCAAGGTAAAATGTATGTCCATCCTGACACCTGGCATTTTGGGAACTTCCAGTGTTTTACCTGTATCCTTTGAATGCGGGATTGGTGTCCTACAGGTGGAAAAAGTAAACATCTTTATTGTTCAGGGGGGATGAATGAATAGATTAAGTAATGATTAAGTAAGGATATACGCCACTGCAGGAGCGCTGAGGGGTCATAGTAGGATGTAACGTCCACGAGAGCCGGTATAGAAACAGATATGTCTAGAATATTAAAGCAGTCCATAAGACTTTTATATACCGAATTCCACAAAATAGTCTACAAACCATATTTGCCTTATTATCCTTTACTTGAATAAAGGTTGGTTAAAACATCACAGATAATCTGAGACACTTGTCTGTAAGTGTTTAATCTTCGTTGGAAAGTTGCCTGAGTTTTTTAATCATTTGGGAATCGCAAGACATTGATCTACATTTGCCACACTCCACCCAGGTGAAGTAAATGGGTACCTGGTAGGAATTTATTCCTTGAAATGCTAGAGCGCCGTATGGCAGCTGTGCTAAAGCCAGGGTAATAATCGGGAGCGCCAGGAGGGTCAAATCTGACTGACATGAGCGCTATACAAGAACCCACTATTATTATTATTATTGTATCATATCTGTGCTCACACAAAGAAACTTGTTACAAGTAAACCAATGGGGATCTCAGCAATATGGGGAGGGGGGTGGAGGACTTGCTTAATACAGGCTCTCTATTAAATAAAGAGAAATAAAAACTATAATTTCAGTCGGACATATCATAGTCGACAAAAAGGGGTGTATATTACCTACTTCGTTTTAAGGGGTTTTATCAATTATGAACATTATGCATAATTGTCTCAGGGGGATGAGAAGAGGAAGGGCACAGTGATGTAGACAGGATGGTTAGGGGCTAGTGGAGGGGCGGTGGGGGGAAGGGTCGAGAGGGTCGGGTAGGGGCCTTAATTGGACAAAAAGGGGTGTATATTACCTACTTCGTTTTAAGGGGTTTTATTAAATATGAACAGTGAGCAGGATTGTTCGAGGGTGATGAGAAGAGGAACGGCATATTCATATACCGGGAGCATGGATTATTAGAGGCTATTGGAGGGGCGGGGGGGGGGAGGGGGGAGGGGTAGTGGGGGGTTGGGTAGAGGCGTTTATTGGACAAAAGGGGTGTATATTACCTACTTCGTTTTAAGGGGTTTTAGATTATTAGGGACTAGTAGAGGGGGCGCTGGGTTTGGGGGGGGGCCTTAAAATGAAGTAGGTAATATACACCACTTTTTGTCCAATTAACACCCCTACCCAACCCCCTCGACCCCTTCCCCCACGGCCCCTAACCATCCTGGCTACAACACTGTGCCCTTCTTCTCATCACCCTCAGACAATTCTGCCCAATATATGTTCATAATTAATAAAACCCCTTAAACAAAGTAGGTAATATACACCCCTTTTTGTCCAATTAAGGCCCTACCCGACCCGACCCCTCCCCCCCCCCCCCCACCACTAGTCCCTTCCTATCCAGGCTACATAACTGTGCCCTTCCTCTTCTCATCAACCTCAAACAATACTGCCCTCTGTTCATAATAAATAAAAACCCTTAAAACAAGTAGGTAAATATACACCCCTTTTTGTCCAATTAAGGCCCCTACCCGACACCCCGACCCCTCCCCCCCCCCCCCTCCCCACCACTAGTCCCTTCCTATCCAGGCTACATAACTGTGCCCTTCCTCTTCTCATCAACCTCAAACAATACTGCCCTATGTTCATAATAAATAAAACCCTTAAAACAAAGTAGGTAATATGCACCCCTTTTTGTCCTATTAACGCCCCTACCCGACCCCCGACCCCCACCCCCCCTCCAATAGCCCCCTATAATCCAGGCTACATGATATGCTGTACTTCCTCTTCTCATCAACCTCAAACAATACTGCCCTATGTTCATAATAAATAAAACCCCTTAAAATGAAGTAGGTAATATGCACTTCTTTATATCCAATTAACGCGCCCCTACCCGACCCTTCCCCCACCGCCCCTCCACTAGCCCTTAATAATCCAGGCTACATGAATATGCTGTACCTCTACTCATCACCCTCAGACAATCCTGCCCACTGTTCATATTTAATAAAACCCTTAAAACGAAGTAGGTAATATACACCCCTTTTTGTCCAATTAAGGCCCCCCCCCCGAACCCTCCCCCCCACCGCTCCTCCAATAGCCCCTAATAATCCAGGCTACATGAACATGCCATTCCTCTTCTCATCACCCTCAGACAATCCTGCCCACTGTTCATATTTAATAAAAACCCTTAAAATGAAGTAGGTAATATACTCCCTTTTTGTCCAATTAAGGCCCCTACCCGACCCCCCGACCCCTCCCCCCCCCCCCCCCACCACAAGTCCCTTCCTATCCAGGCTACATGACTGTGCCCTTCCTCTTCTCATCACCTCACACAATACTGCCCTCTGTTCATAATAAATAAAACCCTTAAAACGAAGTAGGTAAATATACACCCCTTTTTGTCCAATTAAGGCCCCTACCCGACACCCCGACCCCTCCCCCCCCCCCCCACCACTAGTCCCTTCCTATCCAGGCTACATAACTGTGCCCTTCCTCTTCTCATCAACCTCAAACAATACTGCCCTCTGTTCATAATAAATAAAAACCCTTAAAACGAAGTAGGTAAATATACACCCCTTTTTGTCCAATTAAGGCCCCTACCCGACACCCCGACCCCTCCCCCCCCCCCACCACTAGTCCCTTCCTATCCAGGCTACATAACTGTGCCCTTCCTCTTCTCATCAACCTCAAACAATACTGCCCTATGTTCATAATAAATAAAACCCCTTAAAACGAAGTAGGTAATATGCACTTCTTTATATCCAATTAACGCCCCTACCCGACACCCCGACCCTTCCCCCCCCCCCACCACTAGTCCCTTCCTATCCAGGCTACATAACTGTGCCCTTCCTCTTCTCATCAACCTCAAACAATACTGCCCTATGTTCATATAAATAAAAAACCCCTTAAAATGTAGTAGGTAATATGCACTTCTTTATATCCAATTAAGGCCCCTACCCGACCCTACCCCCCACCGCCCCCTCCAATAGCCCTTAATAATCCAGGCTACATGAATATGCTGTACCTCTACTCATCACCCTCAGACAATCCTGCCCACTGTTCATATTTAATAAAAACCCTTAAAACGAAGTAGGTAATATACTCCCCTTTTTGTCCAATTAGGGCCCTACGCGACCCCCCCCCCCCCGAACCCTCCCCCCACCCCTACTCCAATAGCCCCTAATAATCCAGGCTATATGACACGCCGTCCCTCTTCTCATCACCCTCAAACAATCCTGCCCACTGTTCATATTTAATAAAAAACCTTAAAACGAAAGTAGGTAATATAGACCTCGTTTTGTCCAATTAAGGCCCCTACCCGACCCCCCACCCCCTCCCCCCCCCCACCACAAGTCCTTTCCTATCCAGGCTACATGACTGTGCCCTTCCTCTTCTCATCAACGTCAAACAATACTGCCTGCTCTGTTCATAATAAACTAGATGGAATTTTGACTGCGCGCAGTCGAAAATGATGCCTCCGCATAGAGCAATTTAAACAGTTTGGAGTTTAATCTCCATGGTTCTTGAGATATCATGATAACAATCTCAATGTATGGAATTTCATAAGTTGACCTCTGTGACCCTTGACCTTTGACCTACGTGCTCCAAAAATCTAATCAGATTGTCTTCCTATGGTGATACCACTATCATTAGTTTGAAGTTTAAATCTCTAGTGGTTCTTGAGATATTATGATAACAATCTCAATGTATGGAATTTCATAAGTTGACTTCTGTGACCCTTGACCTTTGACCTACGTGCTCCAAAATCTAATCAGATTGTTTTCCTATAGTGATACACACTATCACTAAGTTGAAGTTTAAATCTCCAGTGGTTCTTGAGATATCATGATACATCTCAATGTATAGAATTTCATAATTTGACCTCTGTGACCCTTGACCTTTGACATACGTGCTCCAAAATCTAATCAGATCGTTTTCCTATAGTGATACACACTATCACTAAGTTTGAAGTTTAAATCTCGAGTGGTTCTTGAGATATCATGATAACAATCTCAATGTATGGAATTTCATAAGTTGACCTCTGTGACCCTTGACCTTTGACATACGTGCTCCAAATCTAATCAGATCGTCTTCCTATGGTGATACATACTATCCTTAAGTTTGAAGTTTAAATCTCAAATGGTTCTTGAGATATCGCGCTAACAAACTCAATACAAGGAATTTCATAAGTTGACCTCTGTGACCTGTGACCTTTGACCTACGTACTCCAAAATCTAATCAGATCGTCTTCCTATGGTGATAAATACTATTCCTGAGTCTTAAGTTTAAATCTTAAATGGTTCTTGAGATATTGTGATAACGGTCAAACGGGACGGACGGACGGACGTACGGACGGACGGACGGACGTACGGACGGACGTACGGACGTACGGACGGACAACCCGAAAACATGATGCCTCCGGCACCACCTTCGGTGGCGGAGGCATAAAAAAACCCTTAAACAAAGTAGGTAAATATACACCCCTTTTTGTCCAATTAAGGCCCCTACCCGACACCCCCGACCCCTCCCCCCCCCCCCCCCCACCACCACTATCCCTTCCTATCCAGGCTACATAACTGTGCCCTTCCTCTTCTCATCAACCTCAAACAATACTGCCCTATGTTCATAATAAATAAAACCCCTTAAAACAAAGTAGGTAATATGCACTTCTTTATATCCTATTAACGCCCGTCCCCCCCCCCCCCCCCCCCAGCGCCCCCACCACTAGCCTCTAATAATCCAGGCTACATGAATATGCTGTCCCTTTACTCATCACCCTTCGACAATCCTGCCCACTGTTCATAATTAATAAAACCCCCTTAAAACGAAGTAGGTAATATGCACTCCTTTAAATCCCATTAACAATCCTTCCCCGACCCCTCCCCCACCCCAACCCCCCCCCCCCCCCCAGCGCCTCCACCACTAGCCCCTAATAATCCAGGCTACATGAATATGCCGTCCCTATACTT